GAAAGGAAAGGAAAGGAAAGGAAAGGAAAGGAAAGGAAAGGAAAGGAAAGGAAAAAAAAGATTTTCATTTTGTCTGAATATACTGTATGGGCGATGCTAGCAACAGTGAATGGTGCATGGATCCTTAAAACGATTGTTCCTCGCCTTAGATACATAAATGAGAACCCTTTTCTTTTCTTTTCTTTTCTTTTCTTTTCTTTTCTTTTCTTTTCTTTTCTTTTTGATTTCTAAATTAGACCTGAAAGAAAACATTCTAAATATTTTGTTTTTCCTTATTGTTTACTTACCACCCCTGAAAAGCAGGGGTAATGATAATAGAGATTCTTTTATATTGATTCTGTGAATTCTGGTTTCACAGGCTATTTCACATTTCTTCCACATTTACCAGGACATTAGTGAAGTGCATCTCTACTCCCTTAGTAAGTATTTTGAATCTGGCTTTAATTGGTGGTTCTCAGTAAAAAGTAAATTTCACAGACCTGAAGTCTCTCTGCCTTTGGTCCGTGGGGACAGGCAGTATCTTCTTCTAGTATTTTAGCCAAGTCTTTCCCAGGCAGAGAAGGATGTACTGGGAGAGAGAATTAGGGAAGGCTTGTGCAGTTAGTTTAATTCTATCACAGAAGAAGAGGAAACCCTATGCCAAGCCTCCTTGGCTACCAGCTGCTTGCATTCCCAAGTCCTTCGTCCTTTTGAGAAGGAAAGGCCAAGACTGAACCGGGTGCCGTCTCTGCCACTGAACCGCAGTTCCCCCCTTGCACCCCACGTAAGGACTGCCAGTCCACAAAAGCAAATGTGGAGCTGTTGTATATGAATCAGCCCAGTGTTCTTCTGGGGTCTGTTTTGTCTTCGCTGGTGGGCAGCCGCTCTTCTGGATTTTGCTCAGCAGCCCGAGGCACCGAGCCTTTGGCGAGCAAGGCAGGCACTCCTCCAGCACTGAGCTACAGTCTTCTTGAGATACAGAGATGGCATCTGAATTACTTGGAGATCATCCAGCGGACTTCCGAGTCAAGATACCTACGAGCTCTAGATACCTGATAGAGGGGGGTTCCAACCTGCGACAAGAACTGCCACCTCTCTGCTTCTTGTTTTAAAGATCAACTGTGTTGAGAGAGTCTGTAATTACCTTGCCATTTTATCACAGGCAGAACTCATTAGCGGGGATGTCTGTCCCCCAAGGTGCCAAATGCTGCTTGTCACCGACCACTCTATAGTACTTTCCTCTTTAGCTCTCCTGTTTTGCAAAATCAAATCCATGCCTTTTGCCCTCCGCAGAGGGGAAATAGGAACTGATGGCTGGACAAAAAGTAAATAATAAGCAGATTTCATTATCGGCATGAAGATAAGTGGGTTTGTCTGCAAATCATGATGGTTCATTTGATGATGCTAAAAGGATTTGCAGCCCCATACAGCTGTGTTTACTACATACTGACTCAGAGTAAGAGTCATGGCTGGGTTCAGCTATTGCCTAAAAAGTCCTATGTTGGTTTGTTTGATTTGGCATAGCAAGGGATGAACCCAGATAGTTTCACTTCTCATTGCAAGAAGTAAACTGCATATAAACCAGAAACCTCCCAGTTCAAATCCCACCAGGCACCAGGGCCAATAAGCTGAGGATATACAGTATATGCCTGTGTATTTTCAGCTAATACCAAAACCATGTACTACATGATGTTCAGACCAGCAGGTACTATTACTCATCTGAAGCTTGTCGGATGCACTAAACATAGACTGATGTACCTTTTTTTCTGAGCCCAAAGTCTCATTTCCATCATTGTGAGAAGCAGTGAACAAGTGTTGAAAGATAATGGGTGATATTCTCAGGAGCAGATGTCATGTTGGCTCAGAGCTTAGATGCAAGTCATAAAACCCACTGATTTCCAATCAATTGCATCTGACCATCTTCAGCTTTATGAGAAGAGCCACCCCAACATGACGACTCCTTCCTTTGCTCAGTCGATCCTGCACCTTCAAGAGAAGATGAACGGGCTTTTGCTCGTGTCATTTCAAAGACGGCCCGTTCTTTTTCTCCCTGTCCCTCCTTTCATCTTGTTGATGGGCTGCCAAAGAGTAGTTGGATGAAGCTAGATCAAAGCCACCGTGAGGGCATGCCGGGCTGTCGTTTGGAGCATTTTCCTGAGCAGGAGTCTTTCCTTATTCTTGGAGCAAATGCCCAGTCTGGTTGTCACAACCATGAGAAGACCGGTATCAGCTGAAGTGTGTGTGCAACAGCAGTACAAGCACTAGACTCAAGCCCTGTTTCTGAGCCTGAATCTGATCACAGATCCCAAATTAGGACCCTAAAAACAGTGCCCCATGAGCTGGGTGAAAGAAGAAGAGGCAAAAAGAGCAACTTCTGGCATTCTTTTTAAAACAGCATTTTTGAAGACTGAAATGTTCGTTGGAGACAGCTCAAGGAGGGGAGAACCCTGATGATGTTGGCGTTTCAGCAGAACTGATAGAGTTGGACTGGCTTCTCATCTCATCTTGTCTCTCTCTTTCCTTCACGTGCCCGTGTGGGTGTTTGGATTTTCACTGAGTCCACAGGAACTGAGGAGGATGAGACAATCCTTTTCTCACTGCTGCTAATCCCAGTTGAAAGTGAGCTCCTGGCACTGCTCTCTGAAGAAGAAAAGAGCCGGATTCCGACTGGCTTCATGGATACATCCGTGTCATTTTCTTGGCAACAGTCTGGATTGGCTTTCTCTGCAATTTCTCCCCTCGGTTCCCCAGTCCAGCCTGTGGTCCTGAGATTCCCTTGAGATCCCATCCAAGTCCTAATCAGGCCGACCCTGCTTAGGTTCTGAGCATAAACAAGGTCTGGCAGGTGCTACTTCCCACAGAGACCGCTTTCAAAGGCTAATTATGCATTTAGCATCATAACTACCTCCAGTTTTATAGCATGCAGTTGGAACCAGTTCCCCCCCCCCAGATCTGATTTGGTGGGGAGCTTGAACTGGCTGTCTCTGCGATGATGGTCTCTCCAACCCAGTTAGACTCCAGCTTGGCCAGCGTCCTTCCCAAACCTCTTGTGCCAGGTTTGCTGCTGTAAAGCAGGACTAAATAAAATGAGCATGCAAAGCAGGTCGTATTCTCGCTTGATTTGTTGACTTGGCTCAAGCGATAGAATTTGCACCCAGACAGTAAACAGTTCGGAGAGCATTGGTGGCCAACGGTAATGCCCTCATTTGTGGAAAACATGCCTCAGGGTGCTTAGCTACTTATGCTACATAAATGCTCCACGCACATTGTCCTGATTTCTGCCCTTGAATCGAGCTCAGCCTTTCCCAGTGTGGGGCCTCCAGATGTGTTGGGATTAATCCCAGAATTATGGAAATTGTGGTCCCAGTGTATCTGAAGATCAGCCAGCTGGAGAAGGCTGTGTTAGACCATCCAGCCTAGGGGTGGAACATGAAGTCTCTCGGTTTGTATTATTTCATCTCAGAATGTTTGGGTGTCCCCAGTTCTGCCTCCCTAAGCTGCAGGTTGGGGCTTTTCATCTCCCCCACCTTAATTTCTTAATAAATTGTACATAATGGCATGGCTGCTTCTTTATTAGGGGCCCTTTAGCATTATGGAAGCGTTGGTTTTCCATAACTGTCCTGAAATAGAAGTAAAACAATCATTCTACTAATTCAGCTAACGATGAAATTGGTACCTCAGGGAAAGAGCTGGAGAGTGACATCAGTTAAACAAGAGGATCCCCCAAACGACAAAAAGATTAGCTCCCAAATGCTAAGCATGCTCAGTGGACTCCAGAAAAAGGGGAAAAAAGCTATAAAAAGCCTGGACGTTTGTTTTTCCTCTTCCCTCCCTAATATTTTTCTTTTGTGCTATGTCTTAGATCTCTGAGGCAAGGGACAAGAATTTCCATAAGGAAAACCAAACCAGGAAGTGGGACCTCTCCTGTGTCTGGACTAGGGAATCTGAACCTATGATGAATTATTGGCAGTGTCGATACGCTTAGCCTGGAGAAGAGAAGGTAAAGCAGAGATAGGATTGTGGTCTTCAACTATCCAAACAGCTGCCATGCTAAGGATAGATCAGGCTAGTTATCTGTTTCTCCAAAGGCAGATCCAGAGGCACCAAAAATTTAAGAAATCCATTTTGGGATAAGCATTTCTCGTTACCTTTTTAGTAAATACCTTTCAGGGAGTGTTCAGTTCTTTTTAACTGGCTGTATTTACTTCAGGAAGGCTTCCATTGTTCTCTGCAAGTCCTGCCAGGGACAAAGATTTGGACTAGAAAGACTTTCAGGGGCACTTCCAAGAATGATGAGCCATTAGCAGCTCTGGGGACAGAGCAGGTCAAGGATATCTGGCTCCATTGAAGCTGGAGCTTGTTAAGTTTCCCAATCCTTTCACCTTCTGTTTCTGTTACCTCTTTGGTTCTCAAAGAAAGGCCAAGTGTGTGAATGGCATCTGGCTAATGGGAGTTGATGTGTTTTTATGGAGGCACCCTAATGAAGGCTGAAAGGTTTTAGAAGTCTTCCCCGCTTGCCTCCCAGTTGCTCTGTACCTCTAAGCATCTTCTCAGGGTAAAATTGCAATTTCACACCTTCAGAAAAGAAGATCGGGCGGGGAGAGAAGGGCAGTGGTGTTGGCAGGACTGAAAATAAAGCAACAAGCCAGGAAAGTGAGGTAGACCTGGTTCACCGTCGCAAGAGAACGTGTCTCCTATCAGAGCTGACTGTTTTACTTCCAGCCACAGCATGCTAGGATCCGTATGCTGGATTGCCAAAAGCATTTTCAGGCAAGGCTGTCTCTGTGTGTTAAGAACTGGCCAGATCTGTTTCTCTTGGATGGAACAAGCAGGAGAGAACTCAGCTTGCATTTCCCAAATCTTCCCAGGCAGGTACTTGAGCTCAGAAAACTGGCCTTTCGTCTCTCTGGTCATGTCCTGTGAGTGTGGATAGAGGAGCGGAAATTGCAAGGCACAGGAGGAGGAGGAGAACAAATGCCAGATTTCAGTTTTTAAAAGCTTTTCTTAAAAAGAAAACATTGACGGGGATTCTCTTAGCAAGACTATCTTTTGAGATGGACGTATTTTGGATCCGAATTCGATTTCAGCGGTGCATTCTGGCTGCATGCTGTGAGGTGGGACAGCTGAGGAGGACAGCTGATTTACCTCCAGATGCTCAAACTTTCCTGTTTCTGTCAGACTTCGTGTTTTTTTCATTGCATGGTGGTGCTCAGAAAAAAGTAATAATCCACCCATCCCGGCGTGTCAGGTCATCCTAAAAAGCAAAACTGGGAAGAAGGTCTCCCAAAGACTTTTGGATTTCACCACTTTTTTTTCATGATGATACACTGACATACCCACGTTTCTACATCCGTTTATTTCCAGATGCCCCCTCGGTTGAGAAAAAAGCCAGTTTGGACCTGTCCGCCTGCCATTTGGTGCAAAAGAGCTGCTCATCCATTCTGATTAGGCAGACCTCTGAAGGTGGGCGGAAAGGTGAGGCCTGGACAGCTGCCCCGTGTGCTGTGAAAACAGCCCCATATGGAGAGCTCTAATATCTATTAACAGGCATCTGCGAGCTAAATTGAAAGAATAATGGCTCATCCCTTGGCGTGGCAGCCGCGATGAGGCAGCCTTCAGCACCAATTCATCAGAGGCAATTTCTGGTCCTTACAACCCTGTTAAATTCAGCCTGGCGGGTAGGCAGGGAATTGAGCCCATGTCAGTTGGCAGGATGGTGTGATTTTCTTCTTCTTTTTCTTGTTAATGGCCTCCCTCACCCCTGATACCATGTGATTCTTCCCCTCTGATTCTTTTCCTGGGTCTTCTCACTTGCGCGGGGAAGCACCTGGTTTTCAGGGCGCCTCCGCATGACTTGGGGGGAACCGGACAAATTGGTAATTATGGTGGCAGAGGAGGCCCCAATGCCTGCGCTTCTGTGGGTGCACAGAAATATTCCCTGGAGCAATGGATCGAGGATGGACGGCGTTGCTCTCCATGCCGCACCATAGATTGCACCTATGTTTACAGTACATGCGTGCTCTGCGCCTGACCTCCATCATGGACACGTTCAATGATCTTACTCTACGTTGCTCTTCTTGTTTTTTCCTTTCCTCCCCGCCCCTTTAATTCTGACCCCCTACTTGGTTTCCTCCTACTTTGCTTCTTCAAAGCTTGTTGAGACCTTCATCGTTCTGGTCAATGTGATCATTTTGGCTTCATTGCCATCCTGAATTAGCACATCAGTTGCTGTTCATATGGGGTGAGAAACTGCCTGCCTGTCTCTCTCTGGTGGCATTTTCTCCCCGGGGAAAGGTTTTGCCAAATTTAATATCCAATCGACTTGGTGGTGCTCCTGCCTTTTAGCTTTTGCTCAAGATGGTTTTAATGTATAATGTTTTATTGAATATTTTATGGGTGAGACAAGACGGGTGAGTTTTCAGCTCGTTCATACTCACCGTCGCGCCCTCGTTTAGCAGAGGCAGGAGAAGAAGTAATAAAACACTATGTTGGTATGGGGCACGAAAGTAATAACTGAGCCAGACGCTAAAATTACTAGAAGAGGATTGGCTTTTCCCCCCAGAGGAGAAATTGCAGTGGTATGCTCAGATATACAGAAAAACAGCCTTGCACCTCTCTGCTGAAATCTGACGTGTGGAAACCAGCCCTGCCTTCGTGCATACATATGTGCCGCTCAGCTTGCGCTTTTGCAGAGAACGCAAAAGAGTTATGTTCACAGAAGGCACTGGACCACAGACTGCCTTTTGGGGTGTTGTCAATGTGCAGCTTCTGTGCTTAGCTTGTATTCACTGTGCTGGGTGAGCCCGTCAAATTAGACTAGCTGAGAAATTGAACTAATTTGACTGCTTAGCCATGGGGGTGCCCGTCCTGTAAACTTAGTCAGTGCTTTCTGTGAAACCATCGATTTATGGAGCCTTTTGATTCACGGAGATACGCTTCCATTCAGATTGGACTTCTCAGTCCTGTTCCCTGAAAGAAAATGCAGCCGTTCCACTTCTGTTCCCATCTTGCTGGGCTCATAAGCTGCAGACGCTGGCGTTTTGAGCCAGAAACCTACCTTCGCAACACTCCTTTTGTTTCTATTTCCATCTCCTCTTTTAGCAATAGTCATTGCAGACGAGTTCGGAACTGGCCGAGTTTTCTTCTCTGCCAGTCTGCCGCTTATCTTACGCTGAAGCCCAGGTTTCAAACTAAAGCAGTGCTTTGAATCCTACAGTGGTTGTAGCTTGTTTGCATATTCATGCTCGTACCCAGCTTTTAGAAACACAAGCATGAAAGCAAAACCATGTTCTTAAATCGATTCCTAAGCTTCGTTTTGTTTTTACGAAGGTTGCATCCAACATCTTGCCGAAGGTTAGCCAGAGCAGAAATGGGCTGTTGTTCATTTGTCACCAGTGAAGGATTGGAGGTGATACCATGGACTATTAGCTAACATCCTGACTGCTCAGGGCAAAACCTGGCTTTTGGAAGATGTAGCTTGTGGGAAGTAATTGAAAAAAGTTTGTTCGTGGGGATGGGATGATCACCTTGAGTTTAGCAGCAGGATCGTGTATTGCTAGCCAATGTGCCTAGGGGAAGGGCTGGCCCCATAGCCGAGGCTTTGATTTGAGCACTGAGGCTATTGTCTGTAGTACCCTTCCTTTTCCACCCCAAACATTGCTCCAGAACGCGAGCAGGTTTTGAGCAAAGCTGAGTAAGAAGTAACCGGTCCTCATTTGAAATTGACCGGTCCTCATTTATTCTGCTTCAGAGCTAACAATGCCTGCACGTTTGCTGTTGTAACCACAGCACGCCTAGTAGATTTGAGAGCAAACTGTTTCCCCGTGAAACTCCCCACCTCAAGACGGCTTTAAGAGGGATTAGAACAAATTTGTGGAACACCACAATATCTGTCTGTAGCTGCTAGTCCTACCCGTTGCCTCAAATATCAACTCTTCTTAGGTTTTGACATTTTCCTGAACTTTTTCCCAGATTAAAGTCAGGAGCTGTACTCCCCCTAGCTTTTGAAAGAGAGACAGAGAGACAGAAAAATCAGCGTAAGACTGTGCGTCCCAAGGTCCTCAGGCCATGCTTTATTTGTCAGTGAAATCATCATGAAATCAAAGTTTGAGCTCAGTTCTTTGATGAGGAAAAGGAGAAAAACGAAAAGAGAAGGAGGTGCGACACCACAGAAGGGCAACAAGAGTTTGCCACAGTTTAGCCAGACCACGGATGGGAAGTGATTAGCAACAACCGAACCAGTCCTTTGCCGCAGTCCCTTCAGCGATTCCGTTGGATCTGCAGCGCTTTGCAAATACACGTGGACTTACTTATGTCGCGAAATGGGATGGGGAAGCCCCCTCCCCACTTTCTGCAGATCAAAACTCAGCTGGAAGGGACAGGAGCAACGCCGGCAGGCCTGTGATTTGTCTTTTTCTTCTTTCTGGCCCATTGGCAATCATACGCAGCAGGACAGCTCCAGAAGCCAGAAAGGTGGCGGATGGTTTGTTAGCAGGCAGTGAACGTTTTCCAAAAGAAGTTTTTACACGGAGCTTTGCGATCCCGCTGGGTGGTGTGCAACACCTGCCCCAGCATCAAGGGCTCTTCCTCCAATTTTCTTTCCAGAGGGTTCTCGAAGTCAGAAAAAGCCCCTGCGTCACGATCTTCATCTACTATGTTCAGGAGCCCTTGTAGCATTTTCAGAAGAGCCTTCCGAGCTTTGAATTGCTCCTATAGTCATGAAGAAGGCAGGAGAGAGAGAGAAGGGGGGGGGGGAGAGGCACAGAGGAAGGGACTGTGAGATTTTTCATCCTTGCAGGAAAGGGGTTTTCTTTTAAGGGGGGAGGAATTCACACAGGGATTATAATAATCACATCCAATTTTAGATTTTGAAGACCCCTTCCCATCGCTATCAGGAAACCATAGTAGAAATGGCAGATGCTTGACGTTAACAAGACCCTTCCACCTCCCAAGGGAATTCTTTTCATTGTCTTAGGTCATCTTGAAAAGCTAATCAAGACTGGACCTGGTTTGAACCCAGACGGGAGAAAATCCAGGACATCCCAGGGCCATAGGCTGGAGAGGGAAACGGAAGAAACACCCAGAAAAAGCCACCCCCAGTTGCAAGCCACCCTTCAAGAAAATAACATGGCGGTTTCCATGTCACCAGAAGTCGAGCTTGACTTAAATGTAACTTCACATTTCTTGACGCAACAGGTCTATCAGTGATTTATGCCTCTCTCCCTCCCAGTTTCAGAGGCTGGTGGGAAGCAAACAAGTGGATATCCTCACGTGCCCCTCCTGGTCTTCTCAGGGCCGTGGGGCATCTGGGTGGCTACTGCAGGAGACAAAACCCAGGACCCAAAGGATCATTGGTCTTTTCAGCAGGGTTGCTCTTATGTCACATTCTCAGTCATTTAGGGGATATACTTGGCACCCAGATAGCTTTTGAAAGGGCCTCGTTCCAATACTTTGAAGAGCCATCTGCGGTTATTGCTACAACACTGGGCTGTGCCAGATGCTCTGGCATATGGGAATATAAGAAGCCGCTAATTCTACCCTTTCTGACAGTGTGTAACAAGGTCTCTGCAGGAGGATTTCTCCCTACCTGCTCCTGCTCCTTTCGACTGGAAGAGCTCGGGTTTAAATTTTCCATGAGCATCTGGTAACCTCAACCACGTAGATAAAGTCCGTCCCTAACCAAAGCACCAACAATTTATGTCCCTTCCAATGGATTTGGAACACCACTGATGATGCCACAAAGGTTATTTAAAAAAAAAAACACCTGTCCTAGTCTGCATTTGTCTTGGGCACAGCCTAATGAAACAAGGAGGGCTCTCTGTGTGTGTTTAACAAAAAACCTCTTCCCCTTTTCTTCCTTCTCTGGGTAGAAGGCACACCTAGACCTGGAGGACTTGCTTCTGAGGGAACTCATAAAAGGTAGCATTGTTATTTTTTTAAATTCTATTCACTCTTCCTTCTGGCACAGTGCAAGATTAAACTAGACATCTACATTAAGGCTCTCTTCCTTCTGGTCAATTCAGTTGTCTTTTTTCCCAATACGTGCTTTGTCTCCGATTTCTCCTCTTTGTCTTCAGAGGGACCATCTCCTTAACACACACCCTTTTAGTATTATGAGAAAATCTTTTCCATGCACCGACGCCCCACCAGCCAGAAGCGTTGACTACGTTATTATTTTCTATAAAGCCCAATTCCTTAAAAGCCTCCTCTTCCTCAGACTCTGAAGGGGTGTCATCTTTTCCAACTCACCCTGCTGCTCTGTGCAGAAAAGTTATCTTCTCCCGGCAGGGCAGCCGCACGCATACTCCACGTCAGCAGAAGCACTGCAACGAACCTGGCCACCATCTGCATGATGGAGAGATCTCAGAAGCTCTTGGGAGAGGCTGAGAGGCAGACCAGCTCCAGTATATTCTGCCTGGCTGCAGCATCTCCTTTTATAAAACCCTCCCTGAGCTGTGCCAGGTGACAGAGACAGGAAAAACTGTCTCCCAAGCCAATGAAATTTCAGAGGAGTGGCAGCATCAGCCTGTTTGAGGAATGAGGAATCTGTGATGATCCAGAAGTATGGCAAACCCCAGGGGGTACTTGTGATTTAACAAGAAGATAATTCCGCTAGATGATGAAGGTGGTGGTGATGATAATGATGACGATGATTGAAATCTAGACACAAATTTGCCCATGTTCTTAAATCTGGACATTGAGAAAAATTTCCAGGGTTGTGTAAAACTGTTGCCTTAAGTCCTATGGATCCTTAAGTGCAGAAGTGAAGAAATTGTTCTGCTTCCCTGCGTTCCCTTATGCTTTTTTTTTTTTTTTTTTTTTGACAAAAGATGTCGTTCCGTAGATTTCCTCCCCACTCCAGGCTAAGTCCAGCGAAGAGCAGAAGTGAGAGCAGAAATGAAAAAATTCAAGGCATTGGATACACAGACTCTTAGCATGCATAATCCTGTGTGTTCAGAAAGAACTCGAGTTAAAGTAAAACCTCCAAAACAAAGGGGCTCCAAGGTTCAAGGAAGATTTTTTCCCCCTGTTAAATGCAAATTCCCTTCCCCGGTGGGGCTGAATTCTACCCTGAGAGAGCAGAATTTGAAGAATCATCTGTATGTTGATGATTCCCTCCCATCACAAGTGAGAAGCTGGTTTTACCAAAGGATGAATTGCTTACAGGGAACTGTTGAAATCAGGGGCCATAATCATTGGTCAGAATGACAGAATATGAAGTATCAGCCTGTGCTTTTAAAACAGCATCCATTCAGTGTATTCTTCATTCTCACCCTCCCCAGGTAAATATGCTAAAGTTTTTAGTTGATTAATTTACTGCTGACAATTGGCAACTTTATAGATCTGTATCGTATTGGTGTGACTGCTTGGTACACATGTAACCACATATGTTATTGTGGTTTCCTGCTGGACTTCTCTTTGGGTTGGTGGGATTTTTAGAGCAACATCTTCCTTTGCCTTTAAAAGCTCTCTGGCTTCGCTTGTTCAGAATATGAGGAGGATTCCAAAGCCAGGCCCAGCACTGCAATGTTCCTTTAAAGAACATGCCCAGGAAAATTGAATTGGCACATAAATAGCAATTTTAAGAGTCTATTATTTTGAATTGCAGTGTAAAAATTAGAAATAGCCAACAGCTAAAGATTGAGAAAGGGAAGTTATGTAAGATATCTCTGGAGAACATAGAAGTTAAATACACACACGTACACGCACACAGATACTTTGCTAGAGATATTACTATATTACAGATATATTTAATGAAGTGGATATTTCAACAAATTTGGGTTGTTGAGGGGACTTTTTATACAGTGCTTGAGTTATGGGAGAAAAGAGAGGGAATCTTTGAGAAATCTACACACTACCCTCTTTTTTCATGGTGAATTTGTTCATCTAAAAAGGAAGTCGCAGGGACCTTTGGTTGTGCCAGGTAGAGTTTATGAGAGTGGATGTCCTACACATCTGGACGGTACTAGATGGGGCCCCATGCCCTAACCCCAGAAGATCCAGTGTTCTTTAATCTGGTGGAAGGTAATTTCACTGGAACGCCTGCTTCCTTCCACTTTTAATTTGGGGAAAGGTGGTTCTTCAGTGATAATCCCCTTTCTTTGCAGGCAGAAGATCTCGGGTTTAACCCCTGGCACCTCCAGGAATTAATTGAGAAAGGGCTATAGCTTGCAGGGAATGTTCTCGGGTTCAGTCTGTTCCACTGGGCTTTCTAACAACCTCACTGTTTCACCTTATATTTTCCACCTTTATCCTCCTAGCTCGGATGCTCTGGACGTGCACAGTAAGCGCCTGGGGAAAAGATTGCCTCTGGGAGCCCCCAGTCCACTCTAAAGGGCTCTGGAAATGAATGCGTGCAACATGAAAAGGCCAGGCTGCTTGTTGGAGCATCCATCATTTTTATGACTTTGTGCCATCTCTTTGAAGCCAGTTTTGCTGCAGGCCCCAGCAGAACGGACTCAAGGAAGGGACCGAGCACAGAAGCAGGAGTGTGACCCAGTGGGAAAACTGGTAAGTGAACTGGGCATCTTGATGGACAGGTTTAGAAGTTCTCCATCCGGAGCGTAGCCCATACTGAGGGGGGTGAACCACAGATCCGACAAAACAAACTTTTTATCCTAACTCTTTAAAGAAAAGCATTCATCATCTTATTCAGATTTGAGCCTAAAGCACAGGAATGCAATAGGACTGCAGTGTTGTGCAATCTCTGAGATTGGGGCCTTGCTCTGATCGGCAGTCTTTGGCTCTGCACAGACCTATGCTTCCCCTGGAAAACCCACTTGCGTCCTTCTTCCTGAGATGCCGAGGTGTCGCAATGTTTGCTCAACAGCCTCACACAACTCTGCCATCCTGAAACCCAGTCTTCTCATCATGCTGGTGTGATGGAGAGCCAGTTTGGTGTACTGTAGCATAGTGGCGAAGGTGCTGGCCTAGAAACCAGGAGGGTGTGAGTTGTAGACCTCCCTTAGGCATGAAAGCCAGCTGAGTGACTTTGGGTCAGTCACTGTCTCACAGCCCAACCCACCTCACAGGGTTGTTGTGGGGGAAATAGGTGGCAGGAGCATTAGGTATGTCCACCACCTTGAATTATATATGTATAAAGGTGTGATAACAATCAATAATAATAATAATAAAATAACGTAGCTAGAACAGAATGGCTGCTGGTTAATTCACATATTTAATTAAAGGTGAGACTCACAGTCAATTTGTCATTTGAGTCAACCTCAGGGACTGCTGAACCTCTGATTCCAAACTTGCCTTCCAGCTAAGGGGTGTGTGTGTGTACATACATACATACATACATACATAGGAGAATCTTAGATGACTCAACACTGAGACATGTAAACACTGAACATTCAGCCTGACTGCTGACACACTCTTTAACATTGTTTTCTGTGTAAGTAAATAAGAGAAAGTTTCCTATTATCCTCCTTGTGTTTTTCTGCAATTGTTGTATTTGGTCTCTTTATCTAGAGCTGGGGAAGTACAGAAAACTGCAAAAAAAAAAAAAAAAATTACGGGGCGGAAGGAGCAACTTCCTCTATGAGGAAATGTTACAACATTAGAACAATATTCGGATCCAGTGATATAATGGCAATTGGGCAACGGACTGATGGATTGGAGATGGATTTTGCAGAATGCCATCGTAAAAGCGGTCTGGTGCTACTTGAGATTCAATTTTGGAATATGACCCTTTTTTCAGCACCTTGGAGAGAGCCAGGCTTCTCCTCCAAGAAAGGAGAAAGGACTTGACTTGACTGCCAGATTTTAAACAAACAAACGCCAAATCCTGTGTGATCTTAAAAGTTCCTCTGCTTACAGGTGTCACTGTAAAAGAAACTTTTTCCCAGAATGTAGCCTCCAGCCCTGCTGAGCAAACCATAATAAGCCCTACAAATGTACTGTTCGTCAGTTGGTCAAAATGCCAGTTGTATTGAGGGACACCGTTATTCTGTCTGTAATTCTGTATCAAGAATCTTTTGACCAAGAACTACCGTAGCCTGTGCCTGTCCCAGGAACACCAACCTCTCAAGTGAAAATCCCAATCTTTGTCATTTATCTTCTATTTGACATTTCAGGAAGGAACATCCTGAAATATTTATCGGTCAGAATAAGATGTATCAGACCCTAGGGTTGAAAATGAGCAATCGTGCCCACGTTTCCATTTTTACGAGCCCTGCCCTCAGATACATGGCCATATTACTAAAGTCTTCCAGATGTGCTAGCCTACAGTTCTGGTGGAAAGATGGGAGTTGTAAAAAAGTGCCAACTCTGATTTAGCTCCTCTAGCGTGACTGACTTCCGACCTAGACTTTTGGCAGCCAAGGACAGGGATGGCTTTATCATGAAGCAGAAAGAGGCATTTGCCTCAGAGAGAAGAGGAGGAAGAGGTTGCTGGGAGGGAGCAGCAAGGTATCAGAGGAAGAAGCAGCGTGTGATACAGTAGAGCTGCTCTGGGCCCCCTAAGCTATTTAATTATGGTAAGGGCCACAAAGCATGGGATCTCATGGCCGAGGTTGAAGAATTAACCAGCTCCCAGTTCTGTTAACCTGTAGGCAGTCTGAAAGCCTTTGGTTCTCGGCCCCCGGGAGGTAGCAAAATCTTTCTGGATGCAAGAACTTGCGCCCTCTAGCCTAACAGACAAAATGACCAGCTTTTATTTGTTCAAAATAAAACAAAAACAAAGGACTTTTTTTTCTGGAAAGAACTAACATTTGTGGATGTCCCTGGCCAACTTGACACAATTTCCTCGTATTCCTAGACGTGAGCTGGCCGCTGCTAATTATTCCACCGAGGAAGTTAAGGGGTGTAGCCTGGAAGGTAAATACTCTTGTGAAAAAGGTTCTCTTCCTGCTAGGATTTTCAGTTCTGAGCCTACTTGCTCTTTCTGCTAAAATAAAACTGAAGTGTATGAAATTAAATTAGCCCTGTGAGGTATTCTGCGTCATCAAATCTCTTCCAAATTCTGGTTTTATTGCTCCACCAAGTATTTGAGTGCATATTGGTTAATGCCACTTCGTGAGATTACAAGTACGTTTTTTTCCAGATTTCTTTCAGTGGGGTGTTTTACCAATATGTTAGCAAGGTATGTGCAGAGATAAATCACTGCCGTACGCAGCAAAGGACTCTAAAGTCAATCCTATGCCTGCGATGATCTTGCAACAAGGATTTGGAGAGAATTCTTTCAGCATGGGATGGGAGTTCAAAGAACTGTATGTTGTTGTTCTGTCTTGTGAACTGACTTACATTTCAAATACTGGCTTGGAGCAGAGAGAGAGAGAGAGGCCGATCAACTCAAGGCAGAGTCTTTAATTTGCGGTCATTCCATCTACCTACCTTATCAACGAGGCTGTATGAGGATTCCTCTTCCTCTCTGGTGTCCTGGTATACATCTGAGGTCTTGTTGAACGGCTTTTGGTCCAGGTTGTTAGAGGGTGTATTCTCCTGGGTGTCAGCCCCTCCAGTCCCCACAGTCAGAACCAGGAGCACCACTCCTAGCAGGAGAGGCTTCATGATAGGTAGAAAGGGCTGGAGTCTCCTTGGGTGAGTGGAAGGAACAGGCGCAAGGAGAACTTATGCGGGTGGGTGGGGTGTTGCTCTCCTTATGTAGCCTTTGCTAAGCTCTGTGGAGGGACCCACACCTCTTTCTGGACTAGAACCAAATGCAGTTTAAGAACAGAAATGGGGTACATGCTGAGCTTGTTTCATGGACCATTGGGTGGACAATATTCCATCAATCACTCCATAGTGGTTCCATCTGGCAGCCTTGCTGAACCAGGAACAGATGTAAGATTAGTTGGGAAAGTGTAGAAAAAATAAGTGCAAAAGGAAGATCTTGATACGACTTCCACAGTAGTAACAATGGTTGATGTCTAGCTGAACCCACAGCCCCGCTCCCCAGAAATCTGTTCCACTCAGATTCACTTTCCGCCTAACAGGAGAATTTTGTCTGAGAAATTTACCAAACTTTGGGTGTGAGGAGCTGCTCTTTTTCTCTCATCCTGCATTTATTTTTAACAATGTCTGCTTCCTCTCAGTACTGGGAGATGTTTGTATGGGATTCTAGCTCCCATTCACCCTCCCAAAGAAGTAAGGGGTGGAAAAAGAAGAGTCAGGCATGATTCTTGGACAGAAGGCGCTTCTAAGTTAGAAAAGCAACTTGCCGTAATCTAGTGCCAGAATTAAATAAAGTACCATCCCTAAATCTATATTTCTTTTGGGCGGGGGGAAGCCAAAAGTGCCTGCAAAAGGTGTGTGTCAAAAAAAAAAAATGCTTATGAAAAACATGTGCCTCGAAACTAGTTGAAATCAGTTGCCATTGATCATGAGATGTATTTGATGGATCCATAACTGATGGAGCCCTTCTGACCCCATAGCTCTGTGATGGACGGGTCTTTCCCAGTCTGTAACTATTTTAAAAAACTGCATAAGCTTTTGAAATGCTTTAATTATAGGGTCAACGAGAATTCCGGGAGAGGAAAACCTGTCCTTGTAGCCATCCGAGCTCATTTCAGCCATGAATTGGGCAAAAGTGCTCTCACGTGAGATGTGTGCTAGGACTGCTTGTCCAAGCATGTAGTCACAAGCATCAGTGAGCCGGATTCAAATGCATCATGGGCAATTGAGAAATTATGTACTCTTGTTTCTCCAGGTGCTTTCACCTCGTTCACGGCCACGCTGCCCCTGCAGAAGTTCTTGGCAACCCTTTGCCCAGGAATGGGACAGGAGGAAGGACGCCCTGCTGTGTGTCTCAGCCTGGTCTCCTACCAGGGCACTTTTGTTCCTCTACTACCAGAGTCCTGCCCCACTGACTCGTCCCTGGTGCTTCATCCAGTTTAGGGCAGAGACTCCTTTAAATGCAACTTGCTCCAACTTGGGCCACTAAATTTGGGCACATTAGGCCACTTTGGCTGTTCTAATTTTACAATACAGGTGCTTCTCATCTCTTTGCCAGTAAAAATGGTATGACGATAGCGGCTATCAGCTCAGATTATTGACCCGTCTGCCCTTGTATTGAGAGGTGTCCCCAGAAGTCTTCATCAGAAGCTGCAGAACCATTAGGCAAAAGGAAATGCAAAAGTTTATAGTCCAAAACAATCCAGCTGGTCTGGGCTATGATGCATCCCGAGTGCCCAGTGCTGTTACTGCCACCACAGACAGCGAATGCCACAGTTCAGCCCTGACCTGCTGGGGGTCGAACCAAACCACCTTAGCTCTCCTGACCAGCAGCAGTGATGAAAAATAAATTTAAATAAAATAGCTTTGGGGACAAATGCCAGTACCAAGAGAACTGAAGTGAAATCCAGTTTCCAAACTGAGGCCTGGAGGTCAAAGGAAGACCCCTCAGGCTTCTTGGGAAACTTGGGAATTCAGAGGAATATTGAAAGCCAGGACCTGTTGATCCAACAACCTATTTTATTTCCTGCACGCTCATCCTGGTGCTCCCCTTTAAATAGGTCTGGCCCATGAAGCAACTGCCCTGCTAGCAGCTCGAGGGGCTTCAGGGTCCTGCTTCCCTTTGCCATCACCCAGAAAAGATGACTCCAGAACGCTCAGGGGGAGCTACCAGGGAAGGCTTGCTGTGCTCCAGACCGGCAGTGCCCGAGTCACACCCAGTGTGTTTCACAGGAGCTGGAAACGTGAGTGGTCTTTGAAAGGCTGGGTGGGGAACAGCACTGGTGGCCTTTTTCTTCCTCAGCCATTGGGAGTCACACTGATCGGATGTTCTGGATCCCTGCAGGGACCTTCCCTCTCTTTTCCCCAGCCCCCCAAATCGGAAAATCATCCCAGCAGCCAACCCAAAGCCTCACACCTACGTTTTGCCCCACAACCGTCACTCTCCCTGACCAAACCACAGGCTGTTTTTGCCCAGGGCTTAACCCGATGACTGAATCAACCCATTTTCTTGCTTCGTGCAAAAACTTAGCATGTCATGCATATGTAGCTGCTATTTTTCGCTAATCTGGTGTTGTGCGAACAACTGACTTCTTTTTGGGGGGTACAAAAGATCTGGCTTGCACCCATTCATTCTAATTCATCCCGATTGCTTTTTTAGAAGCGACCAGAGGAGGAACAGCCATTTCAATTCCAGTCTGGTCCAACAGGGGGCAGCACTGTATCTACTAGACTGCCTAGGCCAGGACCTCAACACTCAGCTGTTGCGCAATGGCACCCTCTGGTGGTAATCCAACCCTTACTGCCTTTGAAGTAACAATGGGTGAGTGCAGGCAGTCATCCTCGATCCAACTCAGAAAGTCAAACTGATTTGTATTTTCAAATCAAATATGTGCACATGCCAGTCCCTCAAAGCTCTGAATCAGGTCTTAATCTTTCTGAAATTATTTGAAGGTACCTGGCTTGTCGAATCAAATTAGTATGGCAATTTGACTTCAAATTGCATCTTCAAATCAAACGTCTGCATAGGCTCAAGAAACAGGAGGGAAATTAGAAATGACGAAATTGGGAGTTTTTCCAGCAATATCACACTAACTACACAAGCAAAGCAAGGTAGTTTTTAAAACTTTCTCCTTTCTCTGAGACTCGGCATTTCCTCAAACCCATTTTTCAAAACTGGGCTCAATATTCCCACCCCCACTCCAAAATAATTTAATTAAAACACTGAAGGAAATCAACACACACACACACACACACACACACAGAGCAAATGCCCTTAGAGGGCTAGCAAGGAAAATGAAATAAATCCCACTCAGCTGTTTTTCTGCTTAAAAAAGAAATTAAAAGTGCCATCTTTACATTTTAAAGGCTCTAGTTTCATTGCATCATTAGGAAAAAAAAAAACTTATCCGGAGAAAAGCAAACCTGTAACGTCTTCCAAATCATTGGTCTGTGATTTCCATAAACCTTGATCCCTTGCCTTGGCCAAAAGACACCGACAATGATGGCAGTTCTCACCACGCAGAGCTCTACATGTAGTGTAAATTCCAGTGTAAACCCAAAAGGCCGAAACAAAAGGGCTGTTTTGGAACCTCCCAGTTCCATTGGCAGAAATATTAGTGGTCATACAAGCTTTTTTTCCCCCTGCCTGCTGTCCTCAATCTCCCCCCGAAGGTTAAAAAGAAGAGACAAAGAGAGTCTCAGGCGTTTTTTAAAAAGAAAACATAATCGTACACACACATACCCCCCCAGCCTACTACCTAGGCACGCTGTTTTCCCACCACAGGGCAGAATTAGTGATGTGGGGACTGGCTGAAAGTGAGGGGCCTCCCAGAGCTCACCTTTCCTCCCCAGGTGCCCTCCAGATATTATGGACCGCAGCCCCCAGAATTCCCAGCCATCGGCCCTTCATTTGGAACCAGGAGGACTGGAATCTGCCTTGGTACTTGAAGGGGAAACGGGCACAGCTGGGTCTACGGGCACCCACTTCATCATCAGGCTGGGAATTTGGGCACTTGTAGTCCAAGACATCCCAAAGAAGAGCCAGCTCAAGGAAAGGTATACTGCATTTTGCGAATCGCCTGTAAAATGCTCCAAGGTGTCTTGTTAAAAGGTGGAGAGTTCTCGTGTGTACAGAATGTTTTTGGGAGAGACAATAACTCATTTCTAGGCTGCTTCTGCCCCTCCTTAGCGAAGACACATGATTACAAAAGCAGTTTGGGAGTGACGTGGCAAAGGCCCAGACTTGCTGTCGGCTGGGAGATCTCCGATTATACCGACATTTCCAGCGGTACAAATGGAGGGAGCTTAAACACCTCCTCCCTCTTCTCTCTGATGCAGGCAGGCAAAGCAGCTTTTCCAGCTGGCAGGTGCCCAGCCCAACTAAAAAGTCATGACTGAGAGCAGAGTCCAAATCGAGGGCAGGAAGGCGGGGCATTCTGGGATAGAAGGGGGGAAGTACCCAAACCAGTGAAACAGAAGGGTCTGCTTCTCCTATGGAAGACGAACACAGGAAAATAGGAAAAAGGATGGAAAATGGGTGTTTGCTTTTGAAAACATCAAACCGTTAGGCGAAGGGGTGGGTGGGGGTCTGCCAAACTAGCCCCTCTGCTGAGTCACAGCGTGGAGCATCAGAAAAAGAGCAGCGGGAGGGGGGGGAATATATTTGTTAGCTATAAATACAGAGCCACGAGGAGGAGTCGGGGCCGTTAAAAAGGCGGCTGGGTTAATACTCAGTTCCGGAAACAGCCGCCCCAACAGCAGAGCCAGCAACCAAGGCCTGAGCGGATGGTCTGGATTCTTGCCAGGGGCCAAACACCAAGTCCTTTTCTTTAAATACATAACAGGAAGGAACGTTCAGCTGGCAGAGACGGCGCCTGGGCTGCAGAGAGGAGTGGCCGAGCCATCGCCGGAGGAAATCTGCTACGTGGTGCCACTTCAAGACCCCCGGGAAGCTCGAGGAAAGAGGCCAAGACGTCTGGTGGCATCTTTACACGGTACTCAGTGCCTGGGGAGATGGGGGGAGAAAAGCAGAAAGGTAGAGCTGTTAAAGGAAACTGATGGGGAAAATTCTGCCCAAAATGAATAAAATATACACTCGACAGATAATCGATGACTGCTTCTTCTGGGGGCAGTGGAAAGGGCACGGAGCAAAGGTCATAAATCAGGCCCACCTTACTTTTTCTAGGCTGGGAGCTTAACTCCAGAAGCAGGGGGACAAGGTTGGGGCCTGAGCTAACAGGAAAAGATGCCCAGAGAGCGGTGACGGCAGATGGCTCAAAAGGAAGGACGTGGCCGTTCCAAAGAAAGCAAAACCACACTAAAAATGGCAGGGAATGGGCGCAAGCAGGACTGTGCAGGATCATCACGCTAACAACAAAGCCCAGGAGGAAAAATCAGATTGGTTACCTTTCGTGCAAATTCTGGCAAGACAAAAGCTGCTCGGTGGATGTCTGAGTTGTAATACTTAAGGCTCATTTCTTCCACTTGTTCTTGGGAAAGTAGTTGAATTGGTTCCCTGAAGTTAGTGTTCTGCAGAAGATTACACACACACACACACACACACACACCAGCTGTGTTTATTTGTTCATGGCCCTTGGGATCCCTAGAGCAGTTTTCCCCAGCCAGAGGTGCCAGGGTGGAAAGGCCCAGACTTCCCAGCCAGCATGGGCTCAGAGCCGCAGGCCCTGCCCCTGAATGGGCAAGACCACCCTGGACATTTCGAAGGACCACCGCGAAGAAGCCAGAAGCTCTGACTCAAAGGAAGAGGAGCCATTTGGGGCTTCCCAAGCATGAACAAGGCCAGGGTGTGCATCTTCGCTTCTACCTTGCACCGGGTCTCCACAGACAATCACACCAACTCAGTGCATGCAAACTCGGGAAAAATCTCTCGGTCCTTACTCGATTTTTGCTGCAAAGCATAAAGCCGATCTGGCCACTGGGATATGTCGGGATGGTACAGTAGGCGTACTCAACCACCGGAAAGAGAGATTTGCAGAACTGGCGCATCTCCTTAATGAGGTCAAGGTGCAACCACTGGCATTCACCTGGTCAAGAGAACATTTGGGTAGCAGGGTTTGTCCCAACTTGCCTGGCACCCTGGTCTCTCTCAGGAGACATTTTCCTGTGAGTCACATCATTTTCCGTGTTGTCGTTGCTTTTTCAAAGCACTGCCCGAGTAACCTTGTGACTAAATGAACCCGTTTTCTGGGTTTGTACCATGCCTCCAGCTCTAAGCCAACCCCAAATCTTGGGCATCTACATCAGGCCCAGCCAGGAACAAACTGGCAAAGCAAGGTTAAAAGCTTAGCGTTTTTTGCAAGGGCAGCTACTCAGTTTGAAACTGACTTGGGTTAACCACGCTGAGTGAGCAGAGCCAATAGGCTCAGTCTATTTGGGGGTGCTTTAAGAAGGATCTTAAAGCAAACTCGCACAAAAACAAAAAGAGGCCAAGGAGAGGTTTAGCGCTCTCGGGGGACAGCTGGACAGCAGAGCTCTTAAAGGGGCAAGACCCGGCACTCCGGCCAGGAATCACCTTGGCAGCAGAGAATCCCATCTTCCCGCAGAGCAGTTTCCATCAGCTGGTAATAGGATTCCTTAAACAGGCTTTCGGCAGGACCTGACAAGAAAGGGGGTGTCAAAACGGCACTGCAGGGTCAACGCGTCAGACTAAAACCGGAGCACTGGCGGTCCAGATCCCCCTCGGCTTGCAGCTCGCTGGGTAATCGGAGCAGCCGCTCTTCTCTCGGCCTAACTGACCTGGCAGGGTCGTTGTGAGGATAAAATGGAGATGGGGGGAGGGAGAGGGAACGGCCTTGACAAAGAGGCAGGAAAAAGGTGGACTGGGAAGGTTCCAGGCAGGACCCGGCCTTTCCACACTCACCCATGGGGTCAGAGGAATCGGTGATGATCACATCAAAAGCCTCCTGATTCTGCTTCATGAATTCAAAGCCATCCCCAACGTGGAGGGTCAGCTTCGGGCTGGAGTAGCCCACGGCCATGCCCGGGAGGTATTTCTTAGAGGCCTGGATCACATCCTGCAACATTTTATCCATGGATTTTTCTACGTCCACTGAGCAACGGGCCATTCCAGGAGCAGCTTAGCCCAAACTGTCACTCGGGGCAACTGACTTGACGGGCACGGAACCCTTCTGCCGACCGCGGTGAAGAGCCAACCCATCCTTTTCCAAGGGAGGGCGGTGGAACAAGGAAAGTTACTTTACATCACGTCATTCCTTTCCAGGATTCCAGGCAAGACTTGTTCTAGCTTTGCCTGGAGAAGCTGATGAGTGAACGTGGGCCCTTCCGATTGTAACTACCACTAAGCTACAGCCCTTCCGTTGCTCAGGCCTAAGACCCTACTTTTGATGTAGTTCAGTTTTTCATTCCGGGTCACAGAGCTGGTCAGGAAGGCCCTTCCTGCTTTCCCAATTTACCCCGGACGGGCCCTTTCTGCTTCGGTCCCTCCTGCGCACCCTTGGGCCCAATAAAGACTGTGACTGCATGACATATAAGCTACTTTACAGCTGACAATAAGTTCGAAAATAAGCCATTAGCCTAAGAATGAATCACAATAAATATCAAATCGCAAGAGTGACTTTTATAGTAAACGCAACTCAATGGCTGGCTGAGTTTCTCCCAGGAAGCGCCTTCTTTTTCTGTCTCACAGTGTCTGTAGTCTGGGATCTGTGAGGTTGTTCGAGGACTTGGAGGGAGAAAATCCCATTCAGCCAGCACATTCCTGCCCTGGAGTTTGATTTTCACTGGTGGCATCTTTGGTGAAGAACATCCTGTTCCAGGCTAAACACCTCACCCTCCAGTTGGGACAAGAATTGTTTCCTGCCTTCTGGGCACAACATCTTTTATTTTCTCCTCCACCCAACTCTGGAAGATTCTGCCAGTTGGAATTCTTTTACCCTGATGAAAGCCAACCAGGACAATGTACCATTCAAGAGGAAATCAAACGCACTCCTGCTTGGGGGACCTACAGCAACTAAACCCAAAAGTTCTGGTCCTCCTCCTTGTTCCGAGACTCAGGGCAGGGCCAGAATCAAAGCAGGGAAATTGCGAGGAGGTGGATTTCAGTGAAACATTGGAACAAACTTCTAAATAGACCTTGGGCAGCCTCAGGCGGTCAGGGAGTTTTTCTTCACTGGCCATGTAAACAAAGTCTGGATCCACTACAGCACTGCAAACCCAGCACCGAGCAAAGGGACTGGATTAGCACAGCGGTCCTCAATCAGGACACGCTCCAGGCATAGGGAGCGACTGCCGGTATTCTTCGCCAGCAGAGCTGTTGCTGAGGATGTCGGGAGTTGACGTCCAAACATCTGGACGGCTGGTTTCAATCACCTCCAAGCAGTCCTGCGATCTAAAACTCTGCTTCGTTTTAATCTCACGAGGGTTTGAGAGTTCTGTACTATAAATTTATATATGTGCTCTCGCTGATAGTCAGTATACATAAATCGTGATGTTTGGCGAACTCAGATCGGGAGGAGTCTGGTAGCACCTCTTCAGACTAGCAAAATTTGTTAAAAGACAAGCTCATGAAAGCATCCCCCTTTGAACAGTTTCTCAGTCTGAAAAGGTGCTACCCAACTCCTCCTGATTTTGGGCTACTATAGATTAACATGGCTCTCCTCTTACAATGTCTGTAGTTTTAAATGTTATGTAATGCTGGTCTTGGAGTGAAATAAAATAAATCTACATACATCCACCTCCCCACTGGTAAAATACATCTGTACCATTCTGAGCATTTCATGCAAAACACACCAGACCAGTTCCCAGAGTAAATCAAGTCTTGCAAATCAAGTCGTGGAAGGCATACCTCATCAATTTCACACTGTATTACAGACTCAACCGAAGGATGCTTCACCACTTCTCTTAAGACTCCTCCGTCACCACCACCGATAATTAAAATCTGCACAGAAAGGAGAAGGTGCTGCGCGCGAGCCACATCCCCAGGCCGTGTGAGCAAGCGACGTGAACCTCCATCAAAGCCTTGCCTTGATTTAGAGGCCGCCCAACTCCACAAGACTCTGGAAAGCTTACAGCGTTCAGAGCAGGAAAACAATAAAAGCGTAGATCGTACGCATTTGCGAGACGACAAATACTTAAGACGTAATTCCACACGGCTCGGCACCCGCGCTCCCTCAAGGCCTGGGGGAACGGCCAGATTTTCAACAGCTTAAAAAGCATCACCAAGACGGGAGCCACGCAGATCTCGGGGGTGGGGGGATGCTATTCCACAGGACGGGCACCGCAACAGAGATTTCTCCCCAAGAGGACGAGAATCATCGGGCAACGTTCAAAGACTTTGTTCTGCCCCAACGGGGCAGCTGCGACCAGGCAGAGGGCATGGAAATGCTGCTCCTTAGCACAGCACCCGCTTTGCCGACAGGAGGTGCCAGGCTCTAAGCTTGGCCTGACACCCGGAGAGCCCTCGCCAGCCCACGCAGCCAACCGCCGGCAAAGCGCGAGGAGGCTGTTCCGGGGAGGCCGACCTGAGCAAGCTCACCTTCTGAGGATTTGGGTGGCTGCACAGAGGGAGGTTGGCAATCATTTCCTGGTATGAAAACTCATCTCTCTCGGTGCACTGGATGACTCCGTCGAGGACCAAGACGTTCCCGTACGTTTTGCTGAAAAGGAGAGAGGGTCGAGGGCCCAGCTGAACGTTACGGATGAGGGTCAAACGCGAGGCCGCGGAAACAATATCCGTTTAGGCATCGGCCACCTTTCATGTCCCAGGATGAAGAAACTAACGCTATCGCTCAGCCGAGCATCAGGTCACCACGTCTGTTCGCTCAGCACCCTCAGCACCCTCTCCCGCCGCCCCCCTTCCACGCGATGCCCAAGCCCCTCGTTAGCCTCCCTCCGTTTTCTCTCAGCGGGCCTCTGCTGG